TTCACGCTCCCTCCATCCCAGCTCCTGGACAGGAAGGCCAGGGCCTTCTATCTGCGCCCGGCAAGGCATGGTCTGTGCCTCATCGTCATGCACCACAGAGACCCCCGGCCTCACCTCCCACCACTTCCCTCCCCTGGGGGCTTTGGGTCCGTGCCCCCACTGGAGGTCGCCTTGCAGTCGCACTCCTGAGTTCTTTCCTGAAAATGCTCTCCACCTCGCTGACTGTGAACAGACCCTGGCACGCTTCGAGGCTCAGCATGTGTGCCTCCTCTCTTTCAAGGCTTTCCCCACCCCACCCCTCCATGCAGAGCATGTTCTCCCTCTTCTGCCTCCTGGCAGCTGCTTATCCTTCTCACCCTCATGGATGCTGTTGACTCCCTTCCCTCCCTCCTGTACTGACTAGCTTGGTCCCTTGTACGTAGGCAGCTGGAGTGTAGCGTGTGCTTTTCACATTGATTTAACCTTGTAACGTTGTGGAGAGAAAGTGAGATACACGCAAGAAAACTGAGGGTGACTTTGAAGGAATTGTAGTCAAAACCCAGGCGGAGGGATTCCTGTGATTCTCTAGTCCTTCTGGGATCTTGGCGGCAGTGTTTGTGATCTGTGTATTACTTCTACTCAGAAGGGCAGTCCTGTTGAAGGTAAACATCAGGGAATTGCTGCCGGAAAGGGAGTGTTTTTAGTATGATAACGCTCTGAAGCTGCTTGTAACTTGTCAGAAGTAAAATCAAAGCTGTTTGTGCCATTTTCGTTAATATTTTTTAACACCAGAGGTTTCTTCCTTAACTCTGTTTTTGGTTGTGATTAATTTAAGATGGGAATTCACAGTTTTTACGCCACCTCATTTTTTAGTACATGTTGAGCGTCTCAGATCTAAAAGTCCGAAGTCCGAAATGCTCCAGGTGAGAAACTTTTTGAGCACTGATGCGATGCTCGAAGGAAATTCTCATTGGAGCATTTTGGATTTCGGATCTGTGGATTTGAGGTGCTTGACCGGTAAGTATAATAGAGCTATTCCCAAGATCCGAAAAAAATCTGAAATCAGAAGCCCTTTCTGGTCCCAGGCATCTTGGAGACGGGATGCTCAACCCATACAATCTTACAGAGGGGTGACATCTATCAGTCAAGCAAGAGTCATCCTGCAGTACCTTCCTTTATAATGAGGCTGACCATAGGGGCAGGCACTGGATTTCCTTTTTCAGGTTCCTTCTTACACCTTAGATTCTTACTACCCTATGCCCCCCTCACCCCTTTTTTTTGAGACGGAGTCTTGCTCTGCCACCCAGGCTGGAGTGCAGTGGCACCATTTTGGCTCACTGCAGCCTCTGCCTCCCAGGTTCTAGTGATTTTCCCACCTCAGCGTCCCTGGTAGCTGGGATTACAGGTGTATGCCACCATGCCCTGCTAATTTTTGTATTTTTGGTAGAAATGGGGTTTTGATACATTGGTCAGGCTGGTCTCAAACTCCTGGCATCAAATGATCTGCCTGCCTTGGCCTCCCTAAGTGTTGGGATTACAGACGTGAGCCACCGCACCTGGCCTTATTACCCTATATCCTATGGTTTCCTGTTCACATGCACCATGAGCTACTGGATTTCCTTTTTTTTTTTTTTGAGACAGGGTCTTACTCTTACTCTGTTGCCCAGGCTGGAGAGTGCAGTGGTGCAGTCACAGGTCACTGCAGCCTGCACCTCCTGGGCTCAGGTGGTCCTCCCATGTCAGCCTCCTGAGTAGCTGGAACTACAGGCATGTACCACCACACCTGGCTAATTTTTATATTTTTTGTAGAGACGGGGTTATGCTGTGTTGCCTAGGCTGGTCTCAAACTCCCAGGCTCAAGTGATCTGCACACCTGGGCCTCTGGATCGATTAGGTTTTAATATGAATTCTGCAACATCTTTAGTTTGGTAATCTTTGTGGATTGCTACAGAGTAAATTATTCACAAGGAATAATATTGAATAATTTAATTATTCACAAGGAATAATCTTGAAAGATCTCATGTGTTCTTTACTCATCTTCCCCCTGTGATAACATCTCGCAGAACTGCGTGCACTGTCACAGGATGCTGCCGTGCGTACAGTCGAGGCGCAGTGTGTTTCCCAGGCGCCCAGGCGTCTCTCTTGTGGCCCTTTTACAGCCACACCTGCTTCCCTCCTGCCCCCACCCCTTCCTTAGCCCCTGGCAACCACTCATCTGTTTTCGGTTTCTAAAGTTTTGTCTTTTGAAGAATGTTTTGGACATGGAATCATACAGTACGTAACTGCTGAGGCTTTTTTTTTTTTTTAGCTTAGCGTAATTCTCCCACAATCCATCCAGTTCCTCGCATGTGTCAATAGTTCATTCTTTTTTTTGCTGAGCAGTGTTCTGTGGTGTGGCCGCGGTGCAGTTCGTTTAGCCTCGCTCAGGAAGGACGTCTCTGAGTTGTTCCCAGTTTCTATTATGAGGAACGCTGCTGTGAATGTTTCTGTGTAGGGTTTTGTGTGAACATAAGCTCTCATTTCTCTGGGATAAATGCCCAGGAGCGCAGTTGTTGGGTTGTATACCGTTGCATGTTTAGGTTTTAAGAAGATACCTGTTTTCTGGAGTGGTTGCACCATTTTACATTCCTGCCAGTGATGTGTAAGGGATTCAGTTCTTCCACATCCTAACCAGCGTTTGGTGGTGTCACTGTGTTTTATTTTAGCCATTCTGATAGTCGTATAGTGATACTCCTTTGTGATTTTTTTTTTTTTTTTTTTT